GCTTTGGGGCCGGGGTTGGACTGGACGGTCCCTGGAGCAAATTCCAGCCGCGGCCGCTCTGGGATTCTCCGGTGGAGCGGGACGTGCCCCTGCTCCCGGCGGGGCCGTTGGAACGTGCTCATCCCTCCCAGCCCAAACCGCTGGCTGGGCGATAACGCTGGGGGCGGTTGGGTCAGAAAGCTTGGGTAAAACTTAGGTAAGAAAGCAACGGACCCTTTTGCAACGGCTGTGGCTTGTGGAAACTCCCAACGAGCAACACTGCTCGCTTGTCTTTTTTAACATCTTTATTTTTTAACATCTTTATTTTTTAACTTCTTTGGGTTTTAACATCTTTATTTTTTAACATCGTTATTTTTTAGCGTCATTACTTTTTAACATCTTTAATTTTTAACATCTTTGTTCTTTAACATCTTTATTTTTTAACCTCTTTATTTTTTAACATCATTATTTTTTAACCTCTTCATTTTTTAATCTCTTTGGTTTTTACCATCTTTATTTTTTATCTTTATTTTTTAACCACTTTGTTTTTTAACATCTTTATTTTTTAACCTCGTTATTTTTTAACCTCGTTATTTTTTAACCTCTTTATTTTTTGACCTCTTTATTTTTTAACCTCTTTATTTTTTAACGTCTTTATTTTTTAACATTATTATTTTTTAGCCTCTTCAATTTTTAATCTCTTTGGTTTTTACCATCTTTATTTTTTATCTTTCTTTTTTAACCTCTTTATTTTTTAACCTCTTTGTTTTTTGACCTCTTTATTTTTTAACCTCTTTGTTTTTTGACGTCTTTGTTTTTTGACCTCTTTATTTTTTAACCTCTTTATTTTTTAACCTGTTTTTTGACCTCTTTATTTTTTGACCTCTTTGTTTTTTAACCTCTTTATTTTTTAACATCTTTATTTTTAACCTCTTTATTTTTTAATCTCTTTATTTTTTAACCTCTTTTAACCTCTTTATTTTTTAGCATCTTCAATGTCTTTATTTTTAACGTCTTAACATCTTTTTTAACATCCTAAAGTTGAAAGGACTTAAACACGAAGCAGTCGTACACTTTTTCATTAAAGCCCATACGTAAAATCCGTACACAAATCCAACATAGTAAAGCCTGCGCATCCTACTGTGCAATTATGAATATATAACTTTCGAGACTTTAGTGCTGTTTCTGAAAACATTCACAAATTAAATGCAAATTTTCATCCCGTAGCTGGACTAGAGCAAAAATTCTCTCTGTTATAACGACTTCTGGTCGTTTGTGTTTGACCAGCTCCGTAAATTACAAAGAACCCAAAGAATTCTGTAACTTTCTGTAGAACCAGGTAAGAAAAACCTCACGTGTGCTCCTAGTGTGACGTCGTATGATCTGGAAAATACCGTCCTGAGCCGTTTGCACGTTCGTCTGTGCCTTGCAGCGCTCTTCCTGCGTTTCACATTTAATTTTGGAGGTTTCTTCTCTGGAAATGCTTTTTCTCGTGGTGTCGATCCCTGTGTTTTTTCACGCCGGGCGAGATGCTCCGCGAGACTCAAGCTTTAAAGGTCTTTTTTTTTGCTTCAGCAGATGCTGCGAACCATCGCAAGGCACGGATGGAGATCGCGATCGAGTAAACCCGCTCCAAGCACGCTCGTAAACAAACCCGGAGCTGGCTTTAGCTTTGGTACGTGATGTGGTTTTGGGGAGAAATGCAATAATTAAGGACAAATTGCAGAGTTAGGGAAAAAGAACAAACCAACCAAACCCAACTGCGTTCAGCTCAGTATGAATTTACGATGAAGGTGTTTATTCGGAGTGGATTTCTAGTCTTTTTTTTAAAAAAATATTTGAAACCAACAATTAATTTCATCCCCGGCTCGAGGAAGCCAGGTTTGTCTGTGGTATTTATCAGATTTTCTGCGCTTTTTAAACTAATGTCTGTCTTGAGCTTTTCTTATTGCCTTAGTTTGGAGTAATTGGCTTTTAAAATGTTAAAAGAGCTTTACGTAGCCATTGTTGAACTTGGGTATGTTACAAATTCATCCTCCTCTTTGCAATTTATGCACGTAAAAGCGAATTTCGTGGGTCAACAGCTCGATGTTTGAAACTGGGGAGCCGGAATCGTCAGATAAGGAACCATCTGCCTCCATCCTCTCCTTTGTTTAATTAGTGCCGCTGTTGCTTTTGGCAAAACATTTGATATTAGCGCTTTTTTTCTCGTGTTAGCATTTACTTTATAGCACTTCCTGCTCCATTTTTACTACTTTTGAGTAATTCTGGCAGAGGTAAGTTGAGCCACTTTGATTTCTGGTGGGTTCTGGCGGTTTGGGTCGTTCTGGGGAGGAGCTGAGGCTTGTTTTCTCTTTTCACCTGCCAACATTTGTAAATTTGTGACTTTTTGGTTTTTTCCTTAAACAGAACTTACCGACGAACAAAAAGAATTTCAGGCTACCGCTCGTAAATTTGCCGTGGAGGAAATTATGCCCGTTGCTGCACAATACGACAAAACCGGGGAGGTAAATCCGCAATACAGTAGAGGGAAAAAAAAAAATAAATAGATTTTTATCTTAACCCGTGTAAAATTTAAAATGTTGACTGTGACGAATCAGAACGTGTTTCCCCTTTTTTATTTCAGTATCCTCTTCCGCTCATCAAACGGGCTTGGGAACTTGGTCTCATAAATTCCCACATACCAGAAAGCTGTGGTGAGTAAGGATTCTTTCTAATCTGTAAAATAAAACAGAGAAAGGGGTTTAGAGGAGGTTTATATCTATAGAAAATGAACAGTTGCGTACTTGAATAATCTCAATTGAATCCGCCGGCAGGCTGTTCCTAGGGGCGGATGTAATCAGGCAAGAAATCAGTTAATTTACAACCAGATTTTCTGTCACGCTGACGATTACCTGCTGCTCCCTCGGCGCGCTGGGTCAGAAATCTGAAGGTCATGGTTTGCTCAGGTCTCTGCTGGAGGCTGGAGCGATATAAGAGTTAATTCCCGTTTTCCTGCGGTGCTTTGGTACGTGACTACTGTTCAATTTTAGATTTTCCTTTTTAGAGGTCGATATTACCTGCAAAGAAAGTTGGGTAAATGTCCATAGCTGGCCCTGTTTGGTTTTTTTTTTTAAAGATTTTTCAGAGGTGTCACTTTAATAAAGGAGGTTGGGGAACAAAGAGATAAAAGGTTGTGCTAGAGGGACGAAAAATAATGAGAGTTCTCTGAAACAGAATCCCTGAGTCACAGAATGGTTTGGGGCAGCCGGGACCTTTAAAGCTCATCTGGTCCAACCCGCAGTAGCCGAGAAACGTGTGAACAAGGAAGACCCAGTTCGTACGAAATGCTCAAAATGTGAAAAATCATCAGGTTTCAAGTAGGAAAAATCAGCAGCACGGCCTTGCTGGTGCTTGTGCTGCTTGGGGTACCCATCAGGAATGTGGAAATGAAGGTTGATAGGGAGGTGGTGGAGTTTCGGGACACCACTGGGTTGTGCAGGATGGAGAAGGTGAGGCTGGTGCAAAGAGCTGCAGGGGAAGGTTGTGAAAGGAGCGACTGCCAAAACGCGGGTGAAATTCAAAACAGGAAAAGTGATGCACACGAGAAAGAATCAGAGAATCGTAGAATCGTGGAATCAGAGAATCACAGAATCACAGAATCACAGAAATATAGAATCACAGAATCAGAGAATCATAGAATCACAGAATCACAGAATCATAGAATCACGTAAATATAGAATCACAGAATCAGAGAATCAGAGAATCATAGAATCACATAAATATAGAATCACAGAATCAGAGAATCATAGAATCGCACAATCACAGAATCAGAGAATCAGAGAATCACAGAATCATAGAAAGGAAAGAAGCAGTCCAAACTTCCCAAATAAAACGGTGTCTTCTGAACTCGTTGCTATGAAAAAAAGAAGAAATTGTGGGGGTTATAATACGGAGTTTTGTGAAAACGTCAGGCTAACACCCAGGAATGGTCAAAACCACGAACCGAAGGTCAGAAAGCAAGAAGGGAATGCAGAAAGGAGCAGGAGCGGTTAAGTACGCTGCTCAAATCCCAACTGCCTCTCGAATTCATCGCCTGGGCTGATCCTTCCTTCGAAAGGCTGTTGTGGAGATGGAGGAGGTTCCTGGGAGGATGGCAGGGAGGGTAAGAGGTAGAGAATGGGTTCTGGATGAGAAATGCTCGAAACATTGGTGTCATGAGGAGTGCTGCGAGGGACTGATGGTTTGATGTCCCCTCCAGGACAGCCAGAAGGTGTCAGGAGGAGTCAGCAGGTCCGGAATGAAAGAAGGGAGGTGGTTTCCCCACTCTGAGCATAGTTAATGGGGGGAAACTAATTGCCCCTGGATGGCACCGGTGCTGAAATTGCACATGGGTTAAAGAGACCAGGTGAATTCAGGGGAAAAGTGTTGAGGGTCGGCGTCACGAAGACAACAAAGATATTTTGGCTGAGGAGGTCGCTCAAAGGGCAGGAAAAACATTTTCAGGAAGTATCGCTGTGTTGTTCCTGTACTTTTATGCACTTCCCAAAGCGTTGGCTTGTGTCAAAACCAGGTTATTGGGTTGGTTGTTGTGACTTTTTTTCGATTCCTGAGTGCTGTGGTAGCTCAAGAGCCCTTGTGGCCCTTCCTCTGCTTTCCCTCTGCCCATTTAAAGCAATTTTCAAGTTTCAAGTAGTTGGAAAATCCTCGTGGTACGCTGTGGCCGTAGCCTCCCCAAGCGAAATGACATTTTTAAATCAGACAAAAAACGTGAACTCGTTTTAGTCCGTGAAATATCTCACCGTAGGCGGACTCGGCCTCGGCACCTTCGACGCGTGCCTCATCACGGAGGAGCTGGCTTACGGCTGCACGGGCGTGCAAACGGCCATCGAGGCCAACTCCCTTGGGGTAAGTGCCGCCTTTAAACCAAAGCCTGTGCCCTTTTTAAAGACGGATTAACACCTAAATGTTTTCCTTCCAGCAAATGCCGGTCATCATCGCAGGAAATGAGCAGCAGCAGAAAAAATACTTGGGCAGAATGACAGAGGAACCGATGATGTGTGTAAGTGTTGCTCGGGAGCTGCAGACGATTCCTCGATCGGATTGATCACGGTTTTGTGTTTCGGGACGCTGATACCTACTCATAGCCGCTTTGGTTTGTGACATTTGCTGGAAGCCAAGAAATACTGGATTAGACACATTCAGGAAGCAAACGGAAGGTGTTGCCTGGAAAACCACCCAAAGTCTCACTTACTGAACGTTTATACCTTTTGTTTGCCCTCCAAGAAGAGTTAAAGAGAAATGTGAGGTTTATGTGAGCACAGACTCAGCTCAGATGGGCATTAAATGGCATTTCTTGATCTTGAATACGACCTAAGCAGTGTTTGTTATGTGGGAAGAAGTAAAGATTTTTGTGCAACGTGTTAAAACTGGAATAACCTGAGTCTCGTAAGCTGAAGAGCAGGGCTGCCATAAAGCGTCACTACTCCGTGCTCTTCAGGTTTGGGAGCTCCTCAGCTTCCCTGTCAGCGTTTGTGAAGGGATGACTTTTTAAAAGCTACAGAATGGTTCTGCTCATCGTTAAAAGACAATTTGTAGTACGGATTTTTAAGGAAAATTAAGCCATAGATGTTATCCAAGCATGTATGGATTAATTTTCCTTCTTGCTCGGGCAGTTGTTGGGGTTTTTTGATGTGCTATTTTGGGCTTCTTTTTTAAATTTTTTTGGATTAGATGATCTCTAAGGTCCCTTCCAGCCTAGGCCATTCTATGCTTCTGTGATTCTTTCCCACGCAGTTCGCTTCTTTTACAGATCAGTTTGGTGCCCATAATTCTGCAGTAATCCATGGCTGCCTAGAAAAAAAAGAACTTTTTGCATTTCCTTTTCTTTCAGGCTTACTGCGTAACGGAGCCTGGAGCAGGCTCTGATGTGGCCGGTATAAAAACAAAGGCGGAGAAGAAAGGAGACGAGTACGTCATTAATGGCCAGAAGATGTGGATCACGAACGGTGGGAAAGCAAACTGGTGGGTTAACCTGGGACTCGCGTCGTGTTTTCTCTTATTCTCTTCTCTGCTGAGGTGTCTTGCCCACAAGTCCTGGGGTGGGTGAGAAGGGGGTGGCTGGTGGGTCAGA